TAGTTTAATATCAGTGTTTGTGGAGTGCAGTGCCTCTGTCTATCAGATATCCAGACAGGCTACTAAACGCGCACACACGCAGAAGTAGCACTTAAACACGCACATTTTTTTTTTTTTTTTTTTTTTTACATTTTGCCTTATTTGTATATTTGTATAGTTGTATTTTATATTTAATCTGTATATCTGTATTTATGTTCTACTGTTAGTGTTATCTGTATGCACCAAGGGTCTGAGAGTAACGCAATTTCAATTCTCTGTGTGTATGTGCTGTACATGTGGAAGAATTGACAATAAAGCAGACTTGACTAGACTTGACTTGACTTGACTTGATTTGAGTGCCATCTGTTTGTTGGACAGACCGTTGCAAAAAAAATCATTGACACTCACTGACCCTCGAACATGACAACCACATAAGCAGCCCATCAGTTGGCTTTAGCAGCAACCGCCCAAGAGCTGTGCTAGATGCCTGACCCAAAAAAAAGAAAAAAAATCTGTCTAGAGACAGAGCTCTTTGAACACCTCTAACCAAACAGAATGTGATCTCAGACATGGTTACTGGTCATTCATTATAACAGAGACAGATGCTCCAGACTTTCATCATTGATGACTTCTGATTATGTAAATTAACCAGATGACACAATTAGTTAAGTGGGACATCACATTTGAATGAAAAATAATAATTTATTTGAATTAATAAATTCAGTTCATGATTCACAACAGATTTTTTTGCTTGTGGGGTGGACGAGTTACATGTGAACTCCAAAAAAAAGCTTATTTTTTTCCTCTAGTAAAAATGGATCAATGTCCAAGAAGATAAATGTGTTTAAGAAAAGTGAAATGTCAAAAAATATATCCAAGAATCACTTAATCATGCTCACGATGATCCAAACCCATATGAATTTCTTTCTTCCATGGAGCACAAATGCAAAAAATAAAAAATAAATAAGCATTGGTCGCTCTTTTCCATGAAGTAACAATAATGGGAAAAGGAACTTGGAAAAACACAATGAAAGTATTGCAAAAGCAGTCCATAAAATCCATGTGCTATATTGCAAGACAGAAATTTCATTTTTGGCTGACCTGTAAAGTGATATGCAGTTTGATTTACCACGGAAGTCTGAGCTGGAAATTCATTTTAACATTAGCAGTGTTAGCAAAAACGGAGCATTACACCACATTTTGTAACTGCAGAAACTCACATACACTATAGCATCATGTTCACAGATAGAGGTTGGGCAGTAATGAGTGTATGAGTGACTCAATAATGACATGGGAATATAACATACTGTAAGTTTTATAAATATTCTAGTATTTATAGCTTTCACTTACTTTTCACGTAGGGAGCAGCCATCTTGAATTCCTTAACTTGGGTTTGAACGAGGCGAACCGAGATCCCAAGAAGGAACTCCGACTTGTGTGAGTGTTCCATTTGAAAACCCAACATGGAGCTCTGAATTTCCTACCTCTGATGACAAATCAAACGCAGCAATAGTTCACCTAAAAATAAAATAAAAAATGTTGTCATAATTTACTGCATTTCATGTCGTTCCAAACTTGTATGACTCTCTGTGAAACACAAAAGACAATATTGTGAACTTTTATTTAATGGACAAACACACACATACACACACAGAGAGAGAAATGATCCATAATAGAACAGAAAATATAAAAGAGAATTTAATTATGTTATTTTTTGTTTTGTTTACCTACTTTTCTTTGTTTAATTTTCTTACCCACTGGCAAATGTTTTCTTGTTTTCATAATAAACTGCACTAATTATTGGTACATATATGCTTAAAACAAGATTATAAAGCAACATTTGCCATTGGGTTAAATAAACTCCAGATTTTACTTAAATTGTTGTATTCTCAGAAAACAAGTCTTAATTTGTAATTTTGCTTGCTAAAGTATTTACTCTTTTTTTTTTTTCTCATTTGAAGCTGATTAGATATGTTTACTGCCAAACAAGACTAAAAATACTGATAAATAAAATGACTCTGTGATGTAATACACTGTAGAGCTGTCACAATCGGTGATGGCGAGGAACGATGGAGACGAGGAATAAACGAAACAGTCTTTAATCCAAGAAACACAGGGTACATCCAACACTGGGAACGGCAGGAAACACATGAACATAACAAGTAGAACCAACAGAGACAGACTGCACAGACTAGGACTTAAATACAGGGGATGATTGGGGAAACACAAGTGTATGGGATGACTAATCAAACTAATTAACAAAACGAGGACAGGAACATGACCAAATAAGGGAACAGAAACCGGGGCAAACCATGACACAGACAGTCCATGATCCTGACAAGAGCACATTGTTAGGTTTTTACAGCATTGCCTTAAAACCAGGCGAGAACTTTATATATCTCATATGCGGCTTATTTGTCTTTTTGTTTAATGTTTTGTTTAGTCTGTTTTACAGCCAATCGGATCCCAGCCTCATCCGGGTTATTGATTGATTGCGTGCCCTTATCCTCCAAGGCTGTTCCTTTAATAGACTACAGAGGGCTGTAAATATTATTGCTTACTGTGTGCCCGGCGCACAACAAATGTAATCACGGCTTTATGACAAATATAAACACCAGTGAGCCAGTAGATCAAGAGTTATCTGAGGTAATCTTAAAAGAGAGATTTTATTCTTTTAATGTGTCACCCGATTTCCTTTTTCCTTTCTTGTTTCCTTTCTTAGTTTTCATCTTAGCAGGTTCATTTGAACCTGAGAGCTTCTTTGCTGAGAGACCTTTTCTTAGAGCATCTCAAATTCAATTGAATTAAAATAATAGGGATAGTTTTTTCACATTTTTAATATTATACCGTTTCAGTGAATGCCAGGTGAACTGCATTTATAACTGGTGGTCCTGATTTAATAATAAATTATTTGTTTTTAATATTTCAGTAATCAGCTGTAATGTCAGACATTGCATCTATATCAAACATTAATAGACTATGTACTACCTCTACAGTCATACTTGCACTGCTCTTTATGAATATGATTGACATAGCATCCTCAGCTGGGGATGTCAAAGGCTAAGCACTTGAAAGCATGTTGTGCCTCTCCTATGGTTCCCTTGCTACATTTTTTTCCACATTGTACATTTTCTATCGGTCTCATTCTTTCTGTTCCTTCTGCTTGCTCTCACTCTTGTGGGAATGGCTGTCAGCGAAGAGCGCCGACAAGTTTGGGAAGTGTGTGTTCAGAGTTAAAGTGGGTTAAATTACTGCAGGTGTCAGTGCAAACTGTACGTTCTCACAGTAATAGCTCAGATTATATAGGGCCCATCTAGGTAAAATGGCACTGTTTAACTTCACTTTTTACAATTTAGATGCAGAAGTAAAAACTATGCATTTAGACTACTTGGACTATGTGGTCTACTAAAAAGAGGCCCCGTCAGATTTTTGAGGCAAGTGAGATTTGAATGCAAAAGAATATTTGCATCTTTGATGAAAAAGTTTAAAACCATCCCTCAAGTCGGTCCCACTTAATATTAAGTGGCCTTAACAACTATGCACTAACATTTAAATTAATCATTTGGTACAATGCACTTATTTTGTACATACAGGTTTTTACATTGCACTTATATTTTTAAAATATCTGCATGTAATTACATCTGTAATTACATTTATAATGTGACCCAATACTTTACACTGTAACTCACCATAACCCACCCTTAAACCTACCCATACCAACAACCCTGTCCTTAACCTTACCCGTATCCCACCTCAATAGCAGCAAAAGTGTTTTGCAATACAATATGAACACAATATTTTTTGATGTAAGTACATAGTAGTTAATACCACTTAATATAAAGTGGGACCTTTTTTTAAATGTTAGAATTGTTCTTTTCCATAGTACGAATATGTATGATGACCACTGGCTGTCATGTTCATTTTGGTGACACTTTTGCTTGGTTTATTAAAAATATATTATATATTAAGTCAGAATTTGAACTCATATGTCCCCATGTGTGTTAAACAAGCACTGTTCCACTAGACATCTTCATCTTGTGCTTACATATAGAACAACTTGTAAGTTGTTGTTTTTTTTTATATATATTTTTAAAAGGTGTTATTTTTTTCTTTGTTCATGCCTTTTCAACTAGGATTCCAAGTGATCCAGGACTGGAACTGCCACTTCCTTTCAAAAATAAATAAATAAAAATAGCTGCATGATGCCCCTAAATAGAGATAATGTTGTGTAATATACACTTTTATTAAAATATTTAGACCCCACCCACAGCAAATGTTTTCCATTTCCTAATTTCACCATGTAATCACATGGGAATCATTAGGGCCAAAGGTCAAAGCCACCGAAAACATGAAACTAACATTCTCTAATATCAATGGGGGGAGTAGCATCAATACTATATTTCTGCCATGCTACAATTTTATTTATATTCATCGGCATGAAATGAGGCAGTAATTGTTGCCAGAATACCTCATGCCCATTCTGGCAAAATTGTCCCCTATTAGAGCAAGGAACCATGCATGACCAGTGGCTCTGCCATTATGATGCAAATGACAGAATGAAAATCATTCAAACACATTCTAAAGTGAATTTGTAATATTCGATAATATTGCTTTCCAGTTCTGGAATCATTACCTATGGTTCCATTGTCTCTTCACTCGAGGTGAACTGATAGGGGACGAAATTGACTGTGACACTTCTGATGATGTGGCTGGTTTGGAAGCACAACTGTCAATCAATCAGAGAGAAACAGTTAGGCAAATGAGGTGCTCAAAAACAAACATACATATTTAAATAAATAACAATGCATCATTTTCAACCAAGAGCTGTATTTAGAGTCTGCACAAGTTTGAAACTGTAATCGACAGCAACTGCGAACTGCCTTTTGGATATTTTGACACCAAAACCAGCTTTAATAAGTTTGCAACCACTTTATGATTATACAAACACGGCAATTCAAATCGCAGTGAACAATATCATCCAGATTGTCCCATTGCCAGTCCTTGAAAAGTCAGTTGAAAGGTGCTGTTCGAAAGCCCATTGAAAGGTGCTGCTTTGTTGTAGTATGTCTCAGACATATTGTATACTGAAAATATGACAGTAACAAGCTATTAAAAGTCCTCTTTTCTGATCGTCAGTTAATAATTACTTTGTAAACACAGCAAGAAACAGTCTCTTTTGCAAAACACTAACTGTAACAAAAGCAATTATTTTAATAACACACACACCCTCTCTTTTTCTTTTCTGCATCTGCTCTAGCTTGTATACTAATCTAGCTAATACTTGAAACTTGGCATTGTGTACAGCAAATATTCTGGGCTGTAATGATAAATTGCTTGCAGTGTTCCTCATTTGTAATTCACTTTGGATAAAAGCAACTACTAAATTAATAAATGTGAAATGTAATGTAAATGATGGCGGCAGTCACAAGGTACACCTTTAATTTAAAAGAGCTTAGTGCTTGCTAGAAAAACTTGCTCATAGATCTTCATTTCAAGTAATTTCCATTCAGATGAGACCAAAAGTTATAATGTCTAAGTGGGTGAGCTTACTTTTAGTTAGTCTGCCCATTTCCATCAGTTTGACTTATTCAGGCAAAACAGCTGTGAACATGATAGTCAGGCGTTGTCGCATTGACTAATTAGCCAATCACAGCAACGTGGAGGCACTGCCTCCTCTCAATTTATGTTATTTAAGAAAAATGAGTGCTTCTCTCTTTGGTGAAAAAGCCTATGCTGTGTTAAATGTTGAGGCATGCTTCAAAATAGTACTACCATCCCTTTAAAATCACTTCAGAAGTTATAAGTTTGAATTTTCAAAAGAGCAACCTTGGAAGGTTAAACATATGAACCTTACAAAGTCAGATTCAGGACACATAGGCCCACAGACTTTTGTTAAATTAGCATACTGAAACTAAAGCCTGAGGGATATACTCACAACCCACTTAGAGTGCTCTCAAGTTAAAGACACAATTTAGTCAAACTGAATAAGAATATGATCAGGTTATTCAGGGTTAATTTTAAGCCATTTCCTCTTATCTTTTGTTCTGATCTTAGCACTAAAGTTATGGAAAGTGTTACTTTTCACTTACGGACATGTTGTGTTCCCAAAATGACTGCCTGGTATCATCTCAGAAATGAGGTTTGTCTTTGGGTGGGGGACCAGGATTATAACAGCGTGAATCTGTCCTCAGTCCAATATACTTTAAAAGGACATCTCACACTCGGTGACAAATGAGGGTAGGCTCTCAAAGCAGGGATTAAACAGCGTCACAGAAAAAGTTGGAGGAGAAACATCTATCAAATCCTGGCTCAACGTTGGAACTCATCGACGGTGATGGAGACGACGAGTTAGACTATCATCAAGGGTGAGAAAATTCCTCGTCTTTTTCAGAGCAACAAAAATGCTGATTAGAAGAGATGAGACTATATAAGATGAGAGAAGACTGAATTACTGATAATGAAAAAATAGACAGATAAAAGGAGCATGTCAGGCACAAATCAGAGAGCTACGTCACAATGTCTTACAAGACAAAAGACAAATAGGCAAAGACGGCAACAGGGAGGGAAAAGGAACAAGTAGGGGTAAAAAGAAAGATGATTCATGTTGAGTATGCTGACATTTGAGAAAGCTGGAGATGAAGACACATCAGAGGGAGTAAAATACAGCTTGACGTTTAAACTGATCTCTTTTCATATGTTCATCCATCCACCACCATGACTTTCAAATCTGTTTGGCAGGTCTGTCACATTAAAGATCTGACTGTCGAATAATCAGTAACGTAATAAAAGGGAACATGACCATTTTGAAGAAAACCAGCATATTTTCCTAGTTTTCCTAAATTAAGTAAAACATGAAAACAATTCCAATGCCTCTATATTATTAGGATACAATATATTTCAGAAAAAGCATGGCCTTAAATGGCAAGTAAAAAAAAAAAAGTGATCCATTTACATTTCATTAAGGACACGCTGTTATCCAAAGTAATTTACAAATGAGAAATATAACAAGAAAACCAACATATTTTCCACCCTTTTTCTGAAATTAAATTAAATGTTAAAGATTCCATGATGATCTATAATTAGGAAAAAATCTGTTTCAGAGAAATAATGATGCCTTAAATTCCATGGCCTTCATTTATCAGCAGTGCGTACGCACAGATGTGTGTGTAATGAGTGCGAAAGAACAGTTTCACGCAAAGTGTGGGATCTACCAACTTGTACTTAAACATAGGAATGTGTGTAAATAAAAGCACAACTCTGAGCATGCTTACGCAGAGAATCTAGTGGTAGAATGGCGATACTACAAAAAGAAAGTGCCGCTGTGTGTTTCCTGTGTCCTTTAATTGCAAATACTCAATTTATAAATTCATAGTTCAAGCTATACATTTGCATAATTGGTGTAAGAAGCAATAAAAGACACACTGCAAAAAAGGCTTATCTTAGTTTGTTGTCTTGTTTCTAGTCAAAATATCAAAATATTCTTAAATCAAGATGCATTTACTACATAAGCAAAAAGACAAGATATTTAGTCTTGTTTCCTGGGGGGGGGATGAAAATTCACATTCATCTAAATGAAGTGAATTTTGCTTAAAACAAGTAAAAAATCCTCTTAAAACAAGATTATTTTTCTTACCCTATTGGCAGATAATTTTACTTATTTTAACATTAAAGCATGTCAACATATTCTGTTACACCAAATACACAAAATAATGATCTTTAAAAAAGCATCATATGACCCCCCCCCCAAATATCTTTTTGCTTATATAGTAAATGCATCGTGATTTAAGCATTTTTAGATATTTTAACTAGAAACAAGAGAAAAATACTAAGTAAGATAAGCCTCAAAGAGCGCGCTGATCTGTTTAGTGAGAGCACAGAATGGCTTCTCAGTCGGTACCACTTTCTTTGCCATGATTTCGATGAGGACATTATATATTCACGTGATTTATAAAGGGAGGTGTTGTCACTATATATGGTTTATTGGAGACGTTTCTGAATGCAAATGACCATGAACGTGAACAGGCATGGTGCTTAAGAATATGTGGGATTTATCAACAATGATTACTTACTGGTGTGCGTAAGAACCGCGTACGCATGTTTGATAAATATGGATTTTTTTTGAACTTACACACATTCTACATTTCGTAGGACAAAATATAGAACCTTTTCTATGCATTGTTGATAAATGAGGGCATATGCCTTTCTGTTATTAGGATACAATCTATTTCAGAAAAAAAATAGCTTTAAATGGGAAGAAATAAATTGTTGCATACCAATGAGGAATACAACAAAAAAGCAACATATTGTCAACCATTTGTCTGAAATTTAAATTAAAAAAATTACATGCCGATCTATAACTATGACACAATCTATTTCAGAGAAATGATGAAGCCTTAAATTCCATGCTTGTCTTAGGATACAATCTATTTCAGGAAAATTGGCCTTAAATGGCAAGTAAAAAAATTATAATAATAAAAATAAGTGATTACATTTACATTTCACTAAGGACGTTCTGTTGTCCTAAGTAACTTACAAATTAGGAATACAACAAAAAGCAACATATTTTCAACCATTTTTCTGAAATTAAATTAAATGTAAAACAAAATACAAAAATCCACGCCAATCTATAACTGACACAATCTATTTCAGATAAATGATGATGCCTTAAATGGCAAGTAAAATGTGGTACACATGCATTTATTTGTTTAGTAGATCATTTTGTAAATTTTGTAAGTGACTTACAAAAGAGGAACACAGCAAGCAATTAATCTTAAGGAGGCAATAACACAAGTTTCAAACACAGAGCAAAGCTCGAATGGGGAGGGATACAAAAAATAGTGAAAGCACAGAAGAAAAAAATCTTTCTATTTCTTTTCATGTCAGCAGGACGCAGATAAGATTGGTTGGTTTACATGCCAGTCACGTGGTCTCTTCCTGTCTAAATGGGCATTCTTTGGCCTGTATAAGGTGCAGTGGGGACCAGAACTTATGCCGTTAAGTCAAAGAATCACCAGATGATATCAACATCAACAATCCATGTAAATAAGGAGTCAGGTAAGATCAGTCGTAAACCAATTTAAAAACTTCATTTCTTTTAGAGATAAGAGACAGAGAGGAGACAAGGGATGCTGATGGAGGTCAAGAGATGGGTTGGAGGAGAGATAGAGATGGCAGAGATAACATCTGAACCTTTCAGCTGAGAGAGCCCAAAGCAAGGGTTGATAGAGATGGTAAGATAAAATCAAACCTCCCTCGTGCCAACTACTAAAGGAGAGCAACACAGAGTGTGTGTGAGAGAGACGGAAAGAGAGAGAAGGTGTAAGAGAGAGGGGTCATATTCAGCAGTCACCTCTCCTCTCCAGACACCTCCAGACTTTATCATCAGCCCATCTGAATGGCCTGTGGTCAGCACAGAGAGAATGACTCACGACTCTAGTCTTATGAGACCACCTGAAAGTAAAACAGACATTTCATTTACACACTTCAGCATACATTTATCCTTCTCTTTACCTGCACCTGATTTGCTGTATAGCTGTTCTTTTTTGTACATTTAAATACTAATGAAAAATGTATTACATAAAACATTAGGCAGCACAACTGTTTTTTAACATCGATAATTATAATGACTTGAGCACCAAATCAAAATATTAGAATGATTTCTGAAAGATCATGTGACACTGAAGACTTGTAATGGTTGCCTAAATTCGGCTTTGCCATCATTGGAATAAATAAAAAATTAAAACATATTAAAATGAAAACCCGCCATTTTAAATTGTAATAATATAAAAAATTTAATAAATAAATAAGTGTATTTTTATGAAAATCAAATGCCGCAATAAAGGTGAGCATAAAATACTTTTTTAAACAATTTTTTTTTTACATTTTTGTTTTAATAAAACATTAAAATATCTCAAACTGACCTCAAACTGTTGAACGGTACACCCTAAAAAATGCTGGGTTAAATATAACCCAATAGCTGGGTTTGTCCCTTTTTAACCCAGCATTTTTTAGAGTGTAGTATATATTTTGCAATTATACATTTTAAATGGATGTCTATGAAAAGGTCTGTTTGTACCCGGGTAAACATTAAAATACTGTAACTGCATCTCAAATGACGCACTATACACTGATACACTATGTACTTAAGCACTGTGTACTCAACCATGTAGTGTATGAATTTTATAAGGTTATTTTGTCAATAATAATCGGAGTCTAATAGCCCCTCCCCCTTCACAACGTAATTAAAGCTGCGACAGTTGAGTGCATGAAGGCTGCGTCCGAAAGCCTGAGGCAATGACTTTGCAGGCAGCGTTTTTGTACGAAGGCAGCTCACGAAACTGATTTCGGACAGGCTTCTGAGGCAGCGTAACGGTTTAATGATCTACAACAAAATAGAACGAGTTTTGGTGATAACTAAATGAATACTGTATTACTATAATACTGATTTCTCGCTAGAAATAACATCAAAAGTGCAAAAAGCTAGTCAGAAATATACATTTACACACAAACTGACCACCAAACGCAACTTTCAGACGCCATCTTTATTTTTTTAGCTCAACCGTCACAGAATGGAACGCACAGGATTGTGGGATATCAAAGGCAGCGAAGGATACATCTATGCTGCCTTCAAAATTCGATCAGAAGAAGGTACCTCCGGAGACAGGAAGTAAAGCAGAATTTGGATTCGGACGTGCCTTGATGCCTTCCTGCCTTGGAATTTTAGAGCTTTCGGACGCAGCCGAAGTGTCCAACATTCCACACTTCATTTTTTCGGGTATTTACATGCATCATCCGGGTATTTAAAGTTTACTTTTTCTTTATGGAATTTTCAGTGTGAACCAACACAAAATGTCATAGAATATTGCATAAGTACGCGATTTGGGATGCGCCTTGTGTTTTTTAATCCACAAGACCTAAAAATTATACGTTAATTTGAGACTAGTGTGAGAAAATAGTTTATTAACCGAAGTTGTACACTATAGTAATAACTAGAGCCATGTAAGCCCTGTAACTAACACATGGAAGGATACCATAAAGGGAAAATTTCTGGTTTTGTTTATTTCTTTCTTAACGCCAATCCAGCATCTATGGCTATATTCATGGCGAGAACCAGCTAATCCATACACAAGTCTCGTCTTTACACACACGTCTGGGGACTATTTAGAATGCTCAATTAACCTAACCTGCATGTCTTTGGGCTGTGGGAGGAAACCAGAGCACCCGGCGTAAACCCACGCAGACACAGGGAAAACATGCGAAAATTTCTGGTAAAATTACATTGGTAACTAACTAACGCATAACCATGCATTCATCTACTTAGAAAAGTAGTTCTAAAATGTTGATGTAAATAACTGTACTGCTCAATAACGCAGTATTATGTAGAGAGGAATTAAGTTACGTGCTTTAACAAAACTATAATAACATTTCTCGTTTTAAACCCTTTATGTTTTGCCTCACAAAACACAATTACAAGTGAATCACACTCTAAAACACATTTTTGTTTTTACAGTCTGTGAAATGAATGAAAATTACTTTCTGTATCAACCCACAATATATCACAGATGCTGTCAATTGAGCTTAATTTGTATTGCAACCAGAACATTCCTATGAATTTTAACAGTTGTAAGCTACCACTGTTCACCAAATGTGCTATACTAACAATAGTGCACAAGAGGGTTTAGGGGTAAATCCTTTTGCTGTTGCATTGTTTGTATATTATTTTGTGTTTGTGTGTATGTGTTCGCACCAATGTTTTGCCCCTGACTCCAATTTTACTGAATAGTATCCTGTCCTTTCTTTCTCTCTCCATCTCTGCCATTGTGCTGAAATATCCACACCCCAAATAAACGATTTGTCTTGATGAGGTCACTATACCCTGCAAGAGATGACAGGGAAGGGACAAAAAAGCCTGCAGAATTGAGGCTGGTATAATCAGAGCCAGGACAACAGTTGGCTGACCATGTCCACTGGTTCTCTTCCAGCTCTCTTTTGTGTGTGTAAGTGTGTGCGTGTGTCGCCTGGTGTAGTTCCAGCTCATTTCAGCGTTAAACCTCCCAGAGATGATTCCGGAGTGTATGTGTGTGTGTGTGTGTGTGTGTGTACGTGCGTGTCATGTCTAAGCTGTTTTCGGTGCTAAATCTCACTAAGACGACTACTGCTGGAAATTAAGAATTTAATCTTCAATCTACACACAACCTGTAAATATAAATCACAGTCACACACACACCTGACTTTGACTTGAGTGTGACTCAGTTGTCACGATCTACGTGGGTTTGTTTAGGTAAATTCAATATAATTGTATATAGTAATTATAATTTCACACAAATATCCACACAAGGACGATAAAACTGAAAACTTAATAAACATACTAAATAATTCAAATGCAGATCAGTTTGTGTGAGCGTCATGTGCCCTTCAAGTGGATTTGTAATTTTGAGTTCTGAGCACATGAATGACTGAGCGAAGTACTATTTATGAGTGGTAAAATATCAATTCTAGATGATGCATAAGTTGCTGATGTTGTGTCAAATTGTAACATTGTGGAAACATTAGCCTAATCCAGAATATTGATGGTATCATCTAATGTACACTAAAAAAAGTTTGTAAAAAAAAAAAGTTGTAAAAGATTATTGGAGCATGCTTTACAATAGGTCTGGCCACTTAAAAATTTCATGTTTTATTCAGTGTTATATTCTGATTCTTTGTAATTATTTTTAGAAATTTACTACACATTTCTGTGAAAACAGTTTCAAAGTAAATCATACACCAATTTTTGTCCAGTGTATGTATAGAGATCACTCAGTGAACGAAAAGTGAGTCGGTAGTGGATATTATATAGGCTAATGAAAGATTTAGCAAGTTGTTTTAATCTTACATGCTGTATTTCAATCCCTTCAAAGGTCTGATGTATGGAACAGAATAGATGATAATATTCAACAAGATAATCACTCGACTTTCACGATTTGTTAGTGAAACATTTGATTTTAAGAGCCTACAGTGTATAAATAAGCGTTAAATCCAGACTTCTTTAGGTTTATTGTTCACAATGTAATTATTTTGTTTAGGCTCCTTCTGTGTTGTTTACAGACTGGAATACGTAACATGTCTTTAGACCTACGCAAGTAGGTTAAATATTTTTATCGCGGTTCACAATTCAAATACGCACTGCAATCTCAGCGATACAAGGCGCTGTACAAGTAAGTAGCGTAAACTGTATAAATGAGCAATTTAGCTAAATTGTGTTTGGTGCATTTATAGCTACTTGGGCCTACCTGAACGCGAACACATCCGGCTTAACGTAAGAGACGCTAGGTGGACAGGTCGCGCGAAAGTTTCGATCACCCGGTTTAATATCAGTCATTTGAATGCAACTCTATCGCCCCCTTAAAGGTTTACCGCTATGAAAAAATAAATAAATAAATAAAACGGACCGCGCAGCATTTGCAGCTGTGCGCCTTTTAGAGCTCGCGCCTTCGTTCGCGTACTTGCGTTAAGCATGTTTACATTTTCCTTTTTATTTAGGCACGTTTTTGGCCTTAGGGTTAGGGGAAAGAAAATATAATTAGCTCATTATAAAAACAATAGATGTCAAAGACCTCACCTATGATCGAATTAACAAAAATGAGAGTGTTACAACTGAGGGTCCGTTTTTTCATCAGTGTAATGTCTACTATTATCTGAATGAATTATAATATGGTGTATAATTGATAGTGAGAGCAATTATGCGTGTGAGTATTGCATTTTTTATTAGCAGCTCTTCCCCCTCCTGTATTTGACCCAACCTTGAGTCTTTAACACTGGTCTAATCACAAGGTGAGGTGTCTAGGCTAGCAGATGCTTTTAGATGATTACAGCAAAAAGTCTCTCAGCTGAAATAAAGCAGTGTCATCTAAATGCACAGCAATATTATGGTAGTAGCCTAATACACCCCACACACTAATTCTTAATATTGCAGAAGTTTACATCAGAAAGGCTGCCCTTCACTAATTCATCATCGAGGACATGAGATGCAGTTAATGAATGGAAAACAGAGCACCAGAACTGAAACAGGAAATATCAGTGTCTGGCTTCATCTTACTACTCTCTTATGCGGTAAGTTTTTACTTAATTTTGGAAGCAACATGTAGTTCTGGTTGTCTACATTTATAAATCAACAGTGCCACCTGCTGTTTTCAAATAAATACTACATCCGACCCCGAACCCTTATGAAGAAATTTACAAATTACATTGGGAAACTATCGACAGAACACACTAAAAAAAAAAAATAAAAAAAAAATCAAATCAAATTAAAATCATATTAAACACTAAGAAAAAACGGTACAAAAGCTGTGGTGATAAAGGGTGCATAATAGTACCTTAAAGTTAAAACGTACATATCAGTATGGTATATTACATTTTGAAAGGGTTCAAACTCTTGTTTTTTACTATTTACAGCAAAAGGGTCAAGGATTGGCTGGTTAGCATAGCCCCATTAGCCCCTGCTGATAAATTTTAATTACACCATCTGGCTGCAGAAAGCATCATTCTCCATTGCCATTCAAAAGTGGTCCATGTATTGTGACAATTTGTGTTGTTTTGCAAGCAAAATATACACAGCAGCTATCACACTACATTTTAAATGTATTATTTTTAAACAGCTTGTACTGTATAAGCACGAAGTTGACATATTTGTACCTGTCTGCTGCATTTGACATCACAGTTCAGAATAGCTGCTAATGAAAGGCTTTGAGGCTGTGCACATTCTTGTGGTGTCATCAGCCAGACAGTGCTGTCATGGCACCATTTTCCTACACATGGAGTCGCATGGCATCTTCAGCTCTAGTGGGGTTCCTGCCAGCGAAGCAACAGTAATCAAGATGAATGAGAATGCTAATGAATAGTTTTTCTCTGTTATAGTCCTCCTTGCTTTACAGAGCATACAGATAGTAGTTTTTTTTTTTTTTTGCATTCAAAAATAAAAAGGTGTAGTTTTCTTTCTACATAAATAAAGACAGCAAATTTAACTCCACAACAAATGGTTTTGTTACTTCCACAATATCAAGTTCTTGAGCTTAATTTTCTATATACTATATATATTTTTTATAGAACAATGAGTACATCCCAAAACAAATAAGGCAAATATAATATACAATATAACAGTGCTACTTTTAAGTATTGATTAGGGATGCACGATATTATCGGACTGATAATCGGCCGATAATGGCTTTAAATATAAATATCGGCATCGGCCCCGATATGAACAAATATGCCGATATGTCTTGCCAATAAGTAGAAACGTTAACTCACATGTGCTCAGGGTGTGCTAGCGATTATATCAGGTCAGCAGTGAGGCTCATTCTTGAAGCAAAGTTTTGCCTGAATGGTGATTAGATTCACTGTTTTGGATCTCTGCATTTAATCTGTGAAAGCATGTACTGAATGACGCCTTCGGTGTGTGATCCAGTAAATAGTAATAGCAGCACGTGCAGATGCAGCAGCAGCAGCCTCCCCCAGGTCCTAATGCCCACCCGTAATGAGTTTTAATCTGTAGGGGGCGCTGTTGGCCTACTTCTAATTAAATTAAAAGTAAAATAGCCTACACAAATAACATTTAGACTGTGCTTCTGATTAAATAAAGCAGTAATTGATGTCATCAATTATGTTTTGATTTAAAGGTCAGACGCTAGCTTACATGAAAAAAAATCACAAACATGACACTTGTAAATTAAATAATTTTATATATACTAATTTATTAATGTGTAATATGTTTTATATTTTAAACAAAACACAAGCTCTAAAAGATTTTCAGAATTTTTACAACTCTTTTGCTTTAGACCAATCTTAAAATAAAATGTTATGGTTAACACGGCGCCTACTTCTAATTAAATTAAAAGTAAAATAGCCTACACAAATAACATTTAGACTGTGCTTCTGATTAAATAAAGCAGTAATTGATGTCATCAATTATGTTTTGATTTAAAGGTCAGACGCTAGCTTACATGAAAAAAAATCACAAACATGACACTTGTAAATTAAATAATTTTATATATACTAATTTATTAATGTGTAATATGTTTTATATTTTAAACAAAACACAAGCTCTAAAAGATTTTCAGAATTTTTACAACTCTTTTGCTTTAGACCAATCTTAAAATAAAATGTTATGGTTAACACGGCATCTTTCTGGGGGAAAATGCAGCGATTGATATATAGTTTATTTATAGTTATTTTCAAAGCTTCAATGTACTGTCAAAAACCCTTCATTATTTTTTATTTAATTCTAACAAATAAGTTCTTGTTAAAAACTAACCAAAATTAAAAATATTTTGCTTATAATTTCTGCACAGGAGAGACTTGGTGTTGTTTCCAGACAAAAGGAAATATATCGGTATCGGCCAAAATGATTAGAAAAATATCAGGATATCGGCAAAAATCCAATATCGTGCATCCCTAGTTTTGATTATATACTATTATTGTTATTAATAACAGTTTTAATTATTTGGGAGTTTTTTATTTTCAGTGTTCATTTTAAGTTTTAGTATTTTTTGTTGTTCTTGTCATTTATTATTATTAATAATAATATATTTAGGTATTTTTTTATTTCAGTTTTCGTTTTAGTAATTTTGGTAGGCTACTTCAAATTATTTTAATTAGATGCCAACATTTCCCATTTTCGTCAAAGCTTTTCATGTTATATTTTATTTAATTCCAGTTAACAAAGATATTTTTTAATATTTTTAGTTAACAATAAGAACACTCTATATAACATACAGCTGTATAATGATGCTCAATTTATGTTTTAAATAAAAACAAGTAAATGACAAGTACTGCTCCCTCTAGTGGAGAGAAAAGTCTCTCACTCTCTTCATCAAACATTCTCTTTTGCCCTGATCAAGGGGTCAGAGTTTGGTTGGCTAGGTAGAATAGAAATACAATAATTA